GTTTATGCGTGGGTGCTTGTGTGTGTATGTGTTTGTGTATGTGTGTGTATGTGTTTGTGTATGTGTGTGTGTATGTGTATGTGTGTGTGTATGCGCTTGTGTATGTATGCGTGTGTGTGTGTGTATGTGTGTCTGTATGCGTGTGTGTGTATGTATGCCTGTGTGTGTGTGTGTGCGTGTTTCTTGTGTAAGCTGAAAGACGCGAAAAATTATTGAAATATCTATTGCTCCAAGGGTTCAGGGGATCTCGTAGTCGAGCAGTCTCGACTAGAGCTTTCTTACTTGTTTTTGAATATTTTTTGTTGTCTGTCTGGGGGGAGGTTAAAACTCTCTCACACTTGGCCGCCGCGAATTTCATGGCGAATTCGCCAGGTTAGCAAATCGCAAAATCAGAAATCGCAAATCGCAAATCGTTGCGAATTTGTCAATTTGTGCAAATTTAGCGAATTTGACATTCAAAATATGAATTTCTGTTGCTGCCTTTTTGCACGTTGCACACGTTTTTTATGTTTTATGAGCAACAATAATAACAATTGGCCATCCCCCGCTCGGCCCCCTCTGCGCGCCAGCCCACTTCCCACACTACATTGTTTGCATTACGTGTGGAGTCAGGTACATAAAGGAGGAGTTCAACGGGGAGGCGTGGCTGGGGGGCGGAGGTGACCACACCATGCACAGACACGAAGGGTGTTAAGAGTCATTGGGGTCCCCAGCGCGCCAGAAACGGCGAACAATTGAATTTGAACGCGTTTGCATAAATTTACTTTTGCAATTGTTGTTGTTGTTGCTGCTGCTGTTGTTGATTGTATAAATAATTTATATTTTGGCAAAACTTTTTGCCATGCTCTGTGCCTTGCGCTTGACTAAGAGAGACAAATCGATGACTGTGCCTAATGCGATGGCCACGACTAGAAGCTGCCCTAGGTCTATGGCTAAATTGTGGAGAATAATTAACGGAACTGTGGCTTAGATAATAGATGGAGGCATCAAGCGAAAGCTGCCAAAATTCAATCAGGCAACAAATGAAGCACTTCAGCTTGATATATAGTAACGATGGTGTGACTAATAAGACTATGCTCTAGTCGGAAGTGTTCGACTAGTAAATACCCTGCACTAAATACCCTCCTCACTCTCAGCTTAAATTACATAACAAGTAACACGTGCTAAAGCCCATGCACACACACACATACAGGCATACACACACACATATACACTTTGTTTACTACGCACCTTACGCAGCTGTTGCGCTTGGACTACCTGGGCTTTACAATGGGGGAAACTGAAGTGCTAGTTGGACTTTCTTAATGAAATTCTCAGAGTGGAATAATAACATCCAGGTGTTTATATGCGCCAAAGTACACAAATGCTGTATTAAATAGGTTTCTTGGTGTTGAATGGCATGAGGAAAGGTAACCAAAAAGCGGCAATGTAATTTCAGAGTTTTCCCTCTTATTCTATATAAAGCTGTACTTCCGCTTCATATGCCCATTTGTCATTGATATTCCGTTTACAGGGTATATGCAGTGAAGCAGTTAGCGAGCCGCAGAAGAGACATTTGAAAACGAAAATCTCAGTCTGCTGCTTTCATTTACATTAATTGCAATTATTATCATATACATATTTTATTTATTTTTGCTGCAATCTAATCCTTCTTCTTCTTCTTCTTCTCGCTCTTTTCTGCAGGGCTCACAACAATTGGCAAACGAGCTTTGCCTCCATTAACAAGTCGAATGATAACTCGCCGCAGACAAGCAAGAAGCAGCGAGATTGTGGAGAAACGGCACGCGATAGTCTGGCCTATTCGTGCCTATTGAAGAACGAGCTCCTTGGCTCGGCCATAGACGATGTGAAGACCGCCGGGGAGGAGCGCAACGAGAACTCCTACACGCCGGCGGCCAAGCGCAGCCTCTTCAAATATCAATCACCCACCAAGCAGGTAAGCTTCACCCCCCCACATACTCTCCGGTGCCCCCTCGCAAGAGTTCCCCCTCTCAAAGCCCTGCCCCTACTCGACCTGTCTCTGACTTTGGCAATTGTGAGATACTTTTGCAAATATTGCATTAATTGAGTTAGCTCTGTCGGCCTTATCATATTTATATATAT